CAATAATGTTTGCACGATACAGTTTGCGATAACTTATCATGATGATTTCATAGTTTATCATAGTTTGTAAAACGGATATATTCGACAAGAACTTCACAAGGTGCATTTAGTTTTACTGTGCAGTTCTCTCGGTTTGACGTATATCAAAGTGCATAAAAGTGCATAAAAAATGGAAGGGCAACATCGCTTCTTTGTAATAGCCATATTGGTCCTATTTTCTATTCTTCATTCAGGTATAAGATATAAATTTTTAACAATTTATTTGCTCATTAACAATTTTATTAAGCATAGTACTAAAAACAATTTTTAATCCATACTATACTTATTGTATATTCTCTATGTCGGATAAAAAAATGACGTCTTTTCAATATTCATCCGATTATTACGACAAATATTACTAGGTATATGCCTCAGTTGAATTATAATAAATTAATAGAGATATTTGTCTAATGAATAATAGAAAAGTCCTAGTCCGAATTTTGACTGAAGTGATAAAAGTTCTTTGAAATAGAAAAGAGAAAAAAATTAATTGATATCATTAAAGTTGATATCATTAATTAACGATTATTTAGTTTTAGACTGTTACCTTTCAAGTCTGTTAAAAAGTAATGGCATGTGTAGTTTGTGGCGAAAGCAATTGTTTTTGATTTTATATAAATTTTGAAAAAAAATTATTAGATAAAAAATTATTAGATAAAGATCTTGCTTAATCTTGCAAGAGATGTTTATATTTCATTAGTTTATTATTTTGTTCTTTTCTTAAGGTGAAACACTGAAATGCTATAATTGTTATACGAAGGGAAGCCAAACTTGCGAAGATAAACTTACACTGTTACCAAGTGAGACAGTAGACTGCTCAGAAAGCCACTGTGCGATACTTAAATATAGTATGTATAATAAAAATATGTATATTTTAATATTGGAGTCCGTACTCAAAATAACGTATACTAGTAATGTTTTTTAAAACATGCATGCTGTAAAGAGAAACTTTAGTTATCTTATTTTTGCTAATCTGCTTAGAAATACGCAGAAATGTCTACTGCAAATTAAACAGTAAAATTTTGAAAAATAGATTATATTTTTATGTATAAATTATTTATAGATTTGTAAAATAAAAATTTTTTTCTAGATGAGACTGATGGTACTTTAATCATCAGACGTACATGCTTAGCTGCTACATGTGATGAAGCTATGAGGCAGGATAAAAATTTGAAAGAGTGTTGGACATGCGACACAGATCTCTGTAATGCTTCTGCCAGCAATGTGGTATCAATTATTACAATAATAGGCTCGGGATTGATTGCGCTGTTATTGTCAATGCGATGATTCCTTTAGACCATTTTTTACATTATTAAATTTTGCTGCTTATTGTAACTTTCCTTTATCACATCTTTTAATATTAATATTTTTTCATAGAATATGTATTTTTGTCTTTACTATATAAGATGTTTTTTGCTTTGTATCTCTTTTTGAATTCTATAAATCTATAAATATTAATTATATATATATAGTATCATTTATATTAGTGCCTGATTAAAACTGAAAAGGTATATACAAGGTATTGTACAACTGATTGTAACAAAAAATATTTAAAAAGCTGCACACGTTTGATTTCTACTTTTATCTTCGTATACTTCATGACCAAAATACAAGACACGCGAAATTTATTATTCGTCATGCATAATTATTGCATAATTTATCGCGTGCAATTACTATGATGAACATTTCTTATGCGATTTCTGTGTACGTTGTTTATAAAATCACTTATTATATAGCCATAAACTTTCATCCCTCGGCATATAATGCATAATATATTAGCAGTCGGTTTCTCGCGTGTGGCATGTAATTTTCCATTAATATCGCGTTGAAAAAAAAAAAAACAGCGGAGTAAACTCTTTTCCGATAATAATGGGCGAAACTTTGACCGCAGCAACCTTAATTAAATTAAATTCATATAATATAACTTCATCACCTTTTTAATTGTTGCTTTGTAATTAATTGCTTTTTAATTTGTTTATCTTTGCAGGATTGATATTATCATTCATACAAATATCGATAATGCAATAGAACTTTATTCTGATTTATCTTATTTACAATCTTATCTAGGAAATTGTTTTACGCGCATTAATTACATAAAAGAAAAAGAAATATCTTTTATAATACAAGTATAAAAGATATATAATTTTAAGTGTTTTTCTAGCGTATTATATATATGTATATAAATTACATTAAAAAGTAAAAAAAAAAATGAGAGGAAAGATATGAATACAAAGAGGCGAAAGTTTGCAAAATTAATCCGTTAATTGAGAAAGACAAGTTAATTCGTTACAGAAATTTTAACTCAATTTAATATCGGTTTTATTTTGTTTAATATTCATAACATAGTAGAACTTACTATATTAGATATTTTCAAATGCTGTTCAACAAGTTGAGTTTTCTTGTCCAGCAAAACGGATGGAAAATTAACGATTGAATCATTAAATTAATTACTTAAAACACACAGTGTTAAAAATTCAGTAAAGTTTAAAATTCAGTTGTAAATGAATTAATGCAACTTCCCCCCGCAACTGTACTTCTAAAATATTGTTAGTATTATATTTCAACCGGTCATTGCACTTTACAGCGGAAATTGATCGTAAACGAAAGTCTATTCAGAATGGTTAATTAGTTTCTTGACGCGCGTATAAACTAATTAGCCGACACAAGGCGAGAGTAATGCAACCATCGTGCGTTCCGCTCATCATCCTGCACTTTGAAACTTAACTGCAGATACAAACACTCAGCTTGCGCCTACCTTGCAACCTAAGAATCAGTTTCAATTTAATACGCGATCATATTGGACACGGTAATAATCTCGATATTGAAACAAAATTTCTTTCTTACTACTCGAAAAACGATCGACATCGTGATGTTATTAAAAAACGAAAGAAATGTTTTCCTTTCTTCAGTTTTTAGTGAATGAAAGTTGTAGCGGATAAGCTTTTTCCTTAAAAATCGATGATTTTTTTTTTCTTCGTCGAATGTTTATCGCAAAACCATGTGTCTGTTTAAAGCGCTATCGAATTACAATATATTTCGCATCTACTTCTGGTAAGACTCGCATTTCCGTGGCACGCATTTTGTCGGCGTCGAGGCCCCTCGAGCAAATTGCCAAAGGCCTTCTCTGGCCGTACAACGAGATTCGATTACGGCAAATCTCGTAAACTTCCAATATTACGGCTGAGAAAGCAGTGCTCGCTGTCCGTTGGGAGGCAGATTTTCCCGTTTAGTTCTTCGATCGCCAACCCTCCCGCTCCCTCCGCGCCCTTTCTTCCTTTTTCTTATCATCGATGGAAGGATGTGTCACGAGATGGCCTTTTACTCATCCCTGTGTCTTTACAACGTACACGTTCGTAGAAGCGACAGAAATGTGAATCGGCAAATTTTATTTTATTTTTAATTGAGAGATGTAAATAAAAAAATGAACTACTTTTTGCTATCCTACTTCACCTACATCAAACCTGTATGTATAAAGTTCATTTTTATTTTTATTCTTACGTATTTTATTTTTAAATTAACTTAACTTGTATTTGCTTTCACTTTTTCATAAATATTTATTATATTATTGCTCACAGAAATGCGTATATACAGATATGATGTATGAGTCTATGGATTCTTGACCCTAAATTCAATGACCGAATGATTGTGCGTGTTAGACATTTCCTGTGGGATTATTACGGTATGACAAAGTTATGTTTCCGATTAGCGATATCTTCTCGGAGCTCTCAAGATAACATGTCCTTCTATCTTCTTTATTAGCTTTATTATCTCTATATCTCCGATAGCAAAGTGTTTTTTTTTCTGAAAACTATGAGAGATACAAAGTTTAAGAAATATTATTTACTTATATTATTTTTAAAAAGATAGTTAGAAAAAAAAACGCAAACAAAGAAACAGTTTACGTGAGAGATATTAATGAGAACTATGAGAGATTTATTGCGGCTTCTTAATAATCTGCGGATTAATATTAATTTCGAGATTACAAATCTACTTAGAATCACGTCACTTGATGGATTTCCTTCACGTGCCGATTGAGAAACGCTGTCGCTAATACTCACACATGGTTTGACTCCAATTAGCAAAACATCGGGGAATCTATCCACCGAATCGCTCATGCCGCACGCAAACCCTAAACGCAATTAGCACCGACGGCGGCTGCAAACCATCACTTATCGGTAAGCAAACGTAACTTCGTTCGATCGGCTGCACGAGGTGAATGCATGGTAAACGCGACCCGGCCAGTTGCGAAAATCGATAGAAGATTCGAAGATTCTAAGCTCCCGTTGGCGGCGCGACACCTTGACGCGCGAGAGAGCGACGAAGAGACGCAGAAGAAGAACTCGATGGAAAGATATTAAGTTGTTGTACGGTGCTCTTACGTGGCGTTTACGGCTATCCCCGACACATACAACAGTATATAGCTTTATCTTTCAGTTATGCGTTCGTATACAGCCATGTCAGATTAACCGCAAAGCATCAGAAATTATGGCGCGTACACACGTCAAAGGGTCTTGCAGCGCGAAGGAGAGAATTTTCCGACGCGTGATATAAAAATAACGAGCGGTTGTCTCTTCAGATCCTTGCAAGCTTCATAATTTCCCTTATCTAGTGTTTCCTAGAGAGAGAGAGAGAGAGAGAGAGAGAGAGAGAGAGAGAGAGAGAGAGAGAGAGAGAGAGAGAGAGAGACATTTTATATAAGAAAAAAGTATCTTTCTTCTCTTAAAAAAGCTTTTAAAATATTAAAAATATGTTTTGTGAGACATTTGATATTTAAATTTAACTTGTTTTACATTTTGCTTCGCACACTTTTGACGCATGGAAATTCCTCCTTCCCTTTTCCCTCGTAAATCTTGTGCCTTTCCGGCCCCGGATGACACGTACTCTTCCACAAGTGTGCGCTAATGATGCCACGTGCATTAATTTAAATTGTATTCCCTCGCGTTTAAATATTTAGATGCGTCACACCCCATTGTTCCCATTGCGTTGAATGCAAGATTTTAATGTCACAAAAATTCAGATGCGCCGACATCGGAAATCTAACGCCTCCATGTAAAATAAGTCCCGAAGAAATATTATATTTTCTTTGTGCGTTTCTTGCCACCGTGCTGAACGTCGGTTGCATTTACATTTCCCTTGCCTCGCTTTTATTACTTTTTCGCTGCAATTTCTTTCTCACGCTTTTTTCATCTCCAATTAGAAAATTTCATTCATTATACTTGCTAATTCTGTCATTTCGCAGCGAACAGAAGTTGGAGAATGCCGCATGCGTATATTTTTCCGTGCGCAAGGGAACGGTAACAGTAAGTACTAACACACAGCAATACGCAAAACGAGCAAAATTTAATTTAAGTAATAATTTAGAAAATACTAAGGGCTAATAGAATATTTAAATTTGCCATGACTTTTTTCCAACTTGAAATCCTGAAAGAGATACCTTTCCATTCGTTTCCAAAAGACATAGAGTAACACTTTTTTTTTTGCATGTTGAAATAAATCTTGGATCCATCAATCACACGTATAGGCTCCCTGTGTTTTTTCATTGTGTTTCTTCTTGCCAATACGCTACGTATTCAGCACTAGAGACATCGTGCAAACAACACGGGCTCGTATGCGGAAACGAATTTTAATTGCGTGCGATAATTGAAGGCGTTATTGTTATACCCAGTATCCGGCAGGGGCGCCAGTCAGAAATACAAAGACTTGCGGCGGTTGTAAGGGGTTGAGGAGCGAGAGCGCGGATATTCACGAATTATTCGCGACGTGCAAACAGCGCTTCGCGTTTTATCAGTCGCCGTTGACGTTGACTAATGACGTACGCGATTATACTTTCATACATCATAATTGACAAGTAATATCGCGTCTAAATAAACCATCCAGTGTTAAGAAGTGTTATTTAACAGTTCCGTACAGTAGTTTGCGTGTAATTTAAACTGAAAATAAATAAAAATGTCGTCTTGATCGTGCATTCCAAATCGTGGTTTCCAAATGTTGTATCCCATAAAAGACTGGCAATGACGAAGAGTGAATTAAAAAATACAAGATAAAATAGAAGATGAGTTAAATATCATAAAATTTCATCCGTTAATACGATATAAACTTTTAATTCGCAACAGATTAAAACGCTGTGGCGTTTTTAACTGTACACTCGTAATCACAATTTATCTCGTTTCCCATCGCGAGAATGAATCCTTTATCCTGCAAATCCCTCCGCTTCGTATTTCACAAATCTTGAATCGCTTAATGCCTAAAATACGGGACCGCTTAACAGCACATCGAATCCACAACATACAGGGATAACTGTGATTTATCGGCGGGGGAGAATCAAACGGATGCAATTCGACGGATGTGCACGGTCTCGTAAATTTTCGGACGGATTTACGATCGAAAACGAAAGCTTCCAGAAGGGACGGAGGATTTACCACCTAAATTACGCGCGATCCACTTATATCATTTTAATAATCAAAACGTTAATCTTATAAAAAATCAGAATGCAATCGAATTCTGTTTACTTCACTTTTCCCACTTATTTTCGTAAATATATATAACATAAAGGCACACGTTTCCTATATGCAAAATTAGATAAAAAAATATATAACTTTTTCACTGTAGTCAAATGTGTTTTTTAATAAATAGTTGAATTTTACAAAAGGCAATTTTTCATTTCGAATGTGAAGATATATATGTATATGTATAAAATGTATATCATGAATGACGTCTTGCAGTGTCTGAATTTTTATGCCACTTTTGACATCAATAATTAACAAAAACCAGTGAAAATTGAGGGAAAAAAATCTATACTTCGTTGGCGTAGAGACAAAAATTCGGGACTTTCATGGTTAAATTTCGAGATGAATCATGTGACATTGAGAGCGACTTGAATCTTTCTGAATTTTATATATCATGTTTGTATAAAAATATTTATTTAAATATAAAATAAAATTAATTAAAATATAAGATTATTTCATTTATTCTTCTAAATTTAATTAAAATTAAAAGAAAAATTACATGATATGTTGAAATGAATCTTTCATTATATTATCGATTTTACAAATTTATTCACAGAAAATATATAATTTCTGAATTATTTCATAGGTAAATACGAAAAATAAAGCATATTTTTTCGTCATTTTACAAAACGCTTTCTATTTGTTGTTTCTATCTAATAATAACATCATTCGATAATTTCTTCTAATAATGATAGTCGTCGCGCAAACGGCTTTTATTAAGTCTATTCATGATCTCTTTTACGGTGTGTTTCATTGTGCGTTAAAACAAAAGGAATAAAAGATGTTTTCAGAGCTCGTACGTAATGGAACTCGCTCAGGCAACCAACATCAATTGCGCTAAAAATGTTTGCCTTTTGTAGAATATGTAAATCAATGGTAAAAACAACTTATAAATTTATAAAACAAGTATCTCGCAACACGTCACGTTTTCCGTAAATTGCAACGTGTATTTCGCATACATTTTGTATTTTACGCAGTCATGGCGCAGACACATTGACCCCGATTTCAAAATGCATAATATTCCCGACTATTCAAGATATAAATATGCGACGTACAGGCAATCGTAAGAAGACAAAGTAGTTTGAAAATATCCTTTTATCACGTCACGTCACGGACGAACAATGGAAGAAACGAATTCCTTTGAATCGAGCGACAAAACTCGCTTGGACAAAGCAAGGAAATCTATCCCAAATTCTGTCCCTTCTCAGCGGAGAGAACGGAAGGTCGGAGCTGCAATCTATGGTGAGGAGACGTGCTTAAGACCCGAGAATCTGTGGGATTGCATCGAGTGGACCGCAGGAATCGTGTCGTGGAGTCGACGAGCACTTCTCGACGAGCTTCCTCCGGACACTCGTCCGGGGAACGCTCTGGAAACGCGAGAGGTCCGTCGGAGCGCGAAAGAGTCATTCAGAAATTCGCGAACGCGTCGAGGCGAACGCCGCGGCGGAATGGCAATTGTGCAAGTGCATCCGTCCGTTCCCCCCCGTACTCCCCCCCGTACGACGCACGCATACGCGCACGCGGCCACGCAGGCACGCGTGTACTCGCGGGCAGCGGCCGTGAGCGCGGGAGGTGCACCGAGCGAATGCACGACGAGGCGCCTCAGTCGACCGCCACCCTTCGCGACCGACGGTTCGTCGCCGTTCACCACTCTCTTGCCGGAGCGAAGGAGGGAGTCCGCACCTGCCTGTGTGCCGGAGTGTTTATCTTCTCCGCTTCGCGCGCGCGAGCGAGCCTCAGCTTCCAGACGCACACCGGTCCTGTTGATTTCGAGGCGATTTCGTGCGCGTGTCTCCCGGTACTCGCGGTGCGTGCGAAATCGCGAAAATCCGCCGAGGGTGAACGGGGGGGTGCGTGCCTGTAGGGGTAGGGGTGCGTATTCCTCGGGATCTCTTTCTCTCTTCGTCGTTACTCTCCTTCTCCGTCGCTCTTCCTGCGAGTGCGAGTTGTCATGCGTCATTACCGAGTTTAAGGTACCGACCTGAAGTTAAGTCAAGAAAGTACCGAATTCTCCAGAGGCAGACTTTAAGCAACATTGTAAACAGCAATTTTGTGACCGTGAGTATTATGTGTGTTAAAGAAGAAAATTATCCCCCATTTTCTGTCGCATTTTAATTGTAAGTGTGTGAAATCGTACCGTTCTTCGTGTTGGATATGCTTTCAGATTTACGATATCAATGCCAAGCTTATTTACGAATAATTTTCTCAACTACGAACATGACAGTCTCGTAAACAAATAACAATTTTAAAAGATGACGTGGAAAAAATAGGATCCTTGTTTTGCGCTGTTGTATATTTTACAGCGTTGCTGTTGCTATATAAACTATAAGAGAACAATTTTTTTCAACACGATTCGGAATTCAGAAAAAAAATGTTAAACAACATTACAAGCTCGTTATTACGTATATATTATTAGGTTCTTTTAGATAATTACTTTATTGGGAAAAGTTACAAGACGCGGATGTCGGAGAACTCTCGTTAGGTTACAATTTTCGGAGCGCGCAACGTCTGTTTTCCTTCTGTCCGAACGCTAAGACAGATCGGAAGAAGACTGCCTGTGTCCACTGAGATCATCTCGATTCGAATTCAACACAACAAAGAACATCAACAAACGCAGAGCACTAACAACAAATATCCACTCTAACGAACAAATTGTAAATATGTATATAACCCGGTCGTACACGAGCAATTGCAAGGCTCCTACAATATTGTGTACATATTATTATTATATGTTGGTATATTAAGTATTTATAGTATTTATATTTTTACAGCGATGTCTTAATTTATTTACTTAAAGCTGCAATTTCAATCAGCAATTTACGTTTTTCGATAAAGTGATTGTTGTTTGTCATTATTTTGACATTTTCTTTTTGACACAGAGAGAAAGAGAAAGTTTATTGATATATGAAGTGATTTAAATTAAATCTATCGAATTACTGGATGTAATTGGAATAATTAGAACAACTCAACACGTAACAAAATATGAACATACGTATCCAAATATAATAGATATTTTGATTTACAGCAGCAATTAACGAATGCTTAATCGACATACGATTTGTATATTAATAAATACCATGTGCGTCGCAACATCACATTTCGAGGCAACAGATATGCATAATAGAGAAAATTTACAATAACTATCCTGATAATTAATATCCACTAACAATTTATTGATTAACTTCTCTATTAAATAATGAAAAATAATTTAATAACACGTGTCAAACGCTGCATTTTTTATTACGCAAAGAATCGCATCGATAGATTCGCATCAAATTTAACACTCGCGATTTTACACTCCTTTAATTCGCATATATCATTCGTTACTTGTATGTATCGAGTTACGAGAACTCGAGGGAAACGACACGTCCGTCGCGTGTCGTCGCGAACGGAAGAGACGAGTTTCGAAAATGAGAGCGCGCAAGAGCGTTTCCGCGAGGCTCTCGGCCGCGGTTAAATCCCGAGTGCGTTGGACCTTAAGGAGGAAAACAGTGCGTGTGATGAACGTTACGTAGAACATCCGTTGTTGGCGGAAAAAAGTCCCATGACATCGATCCGAGCTCCTCGTCCGCAAAATAGATGCGAGGAACAATTTGTACGAAAATGTCTCCGCTGTGTGTCACCGCCAACTTTGGTATTTGAATCCTTCCAGCTTTTCTGCCTGCATAAGCTAGCAGGTTCTTTCCATTATTTTAAACTCTCGTGTATATCCCGCGGAATTCTCGAAAGATATGGATATCTCGCATATTTCCCATTGTCCCTGCGCCGGTTAATTAAGATATTTAAAATGGAACGATATTTTTCGGGAACCGACGAATTTTATTCGTTCTCTCAGTTCTGAATTCGCGAATTCACCGATGCGAAAATTTCGACGGTACTTTGTAAGCAGTCCTGCTGACGGTATATGGCCTCCTCCGAATTAGTTCCACCCACTCGCGGGAGTACCGGAGCATCACCGGGGAATCGAAAGTATCCGGTCCGTCGAGCTCGTTAGAGACGCGAAATCTGCATTCGCGTATGCGCGCGCGCGCGCGCGCGCGCGCACACGCGTACTTTCCGCTAATGAGGATAACGAAGCGTGCGTTAACGGGGAACTAACGACCGTCATCGCGCGCCGGCGCCCGTAAAGATGATCGCACACAGGTGCATGGACATAGATATACGCGTTTCTTTCATCCTCCCGCGCTACGTCATTACGGAGAAAACTTCGCGCGCGATCGAGGATCATCTTCCTTAGAACAAGGGTAATTACTTCGAAAAGAGACCGGCTTCTTGATACCGCCTGGTGCTTTGTTGCGATGACTTGTTTATGATGAAACTCCAAATATAACTTTTTATCTATCTTTTATCTAATACTTCAAATGATAAAATGATAAATGACTCGATGGAGGAATTTCAAGTCAAAAAGTAGCGAGCAAATGAATTTTATTACGTTGACATTAGAAATATCAAGCGATAAATTGATATTTCTTTTTCTAATATCATGAATAAGATTTTAAAATTTTCTGAATATTCCATATTATTATTGGAATAAAGAAACCACTTGATTGGGAGCCCTAAAACATTCTAAAATCTTTAATATATGAGAAAAAAGATATTAATTTGGAAAAATAGACATTAGGAATCTACAAGTGATGCATTTTCTATAGATGCTCATTTATCCAAATTTCGCGAATGACGCGATTCAAACATCGAAACATTTCCGTCTAACTTTAAATCGCGACTAATTCGAGTCGTAATTATTAACGCAAATGTGCATATCAAAGGGCGCGCGAGAGCGAATGGTTTCACGTGGAACGTTGAGTCAATATCGTTGAACATCTCGGCGAGGAAGCAATTTCTAGCAATTTCTTACACAGGCGACTGAGTACAAATGTATAGACATGCTTAAGTGAGAATAATGTGGTCTACGTACGGAAAAGACGGAACCGGATTTGTCGCCGGCCTTTCGCGATCGTGCTTTCTTTCCTCCGTTGTTTCATCGCGCCATCTCTCATGGCGCGTGTGAGAAAACGGATATCCTGCGGACGGTCCACGGCTACGCGTGTGAAATATTGCGAGCGCGAACACGGGAGGAAAGTTTTTCCGTGGAAAGTGTTTCCGCGCGATTGCAATGCAGATCAGATCTCCTCTCTTTTTTCTCGCGGACGCGATAAAACCTGCCTGACGCGATATGTTTCTTCATTTTTACGAATGCACTTGAGTGTAACCACTGATGAAATTTCAATCATGCATCATAAATTATTGAAAAGTGTTATGACATAAAGCGTGTGTACGTAAACATCTTTATAGACGCGATAGACGATAAAAGTGAGTTTAGTCTGGTTGATCGATTTCCTAGACCTAATTACCTGTAGTTTCTCCGATGGCTGTTGCCCTTAATTTCATCTCGTACGAACGGCGAGGCGCTAGAATAACGATTGCCCAGAAAAATTCGCCGCGACACGGTTTTTCGTGGCGCTTGACAAATATTCCACGCGTGTGTTTCGAACGAGCGTAACAAACACGGCGATCGCGTGCCGCCGCAAAAGTCCATTAATTGCGCCTCTCCGTTTCAATTCCGCGCGCCGCCAGAGAGGCTGAAATCGAGCGGGCGCGCTCTTTGCACAGCCGCCGTTTTTCGCTCGTAAATCTTAACCGCGAAACTTACGGACGAATGAACGAGCGAGCGAACGCGCGAGCACGAGTTTCGCAACTCGCGCTACAATTAAATCGTACCAAAGGAAAATACAATCCGCGAATAGAACCGCTGGTCGCAACCAGCGAGCAGGGAAAAAAAATGAAAAAAAAACGGGAAGTTGATAGGATACAGAAGGAGAGAGAGAGAGAGAGAGCAAGAGAGATCGATCCTGAATTGTTAGGCCAATCCAGCGTAATTACGACGGTATGGGAGAAACCGCGAGAGTCCGCGTTTCCCGCTGCCGGCCGTAACGCGCACGCGAGAAATCGCCGGATGGAAGAGGGCGGCAGGGGCGAAAGAAAAAAAAAAAAAGGAGCAGTGTGGCAATAGTTATTCCCAGCCTGTGTGCGAACGCACGTGTGTGCGCACGCGCGCGTGTGTTTCGGGTGTTCCTTATCAGGTCGGATCGGCATTAAAACGGCTCGCGTAATCGGAACGTGTCCGTGCGACGCGCGGCGCGATTCGTCGCGATAATTAATTCGCTCGCGATTCCCACGGCGGGGAATCGGGGACGAAATCGCGCGGCACCGCGCTCGCGGTTTCGTGCCGATGCGTCCGATTTTGCGAAACGTCGCGTCCGATTTTGCGAAACGTCGCATCCGAGATATACGCTTTTAGATCTCTCGCGTCGGATATAACGGAGTTTGCGAAATGTTTTTCGAAATACATATCTAGATTCTCTCTCCTTCCTTCGGAGCGGACGAAGGGAGGATGCACACAGTCCGCGAGATTTTATACGTTGCGCTTCCATTCGTTTTTTTGTTGCTCCCGCCGTTTCGTTTATTTTCTGGTCGCGTCGTGTTAACAAGAGCGCCGGACATCGACAGGACTACACCGCCGAAAAAAATAGGAAAGCACCGAAATCGTCGCGCGCGCGCGAGTTCTGCGCGCCACACATTTCACTTGCAAACAAAAACTCACGGGACAGTCGGGATTTACCGCGGATTTTTACCGGGATTTCTCCGCGCCACGGCACAAACGATTCTCGCACTCGTTATCGGCGCGCCGTCGCGGGACTTCGACGCTTAGTGCTCGAGCGTCGAATTTATTGCGGCGCTCGATCGAACGTAACCGAATCGTCGGTCTCGGTTCTCGATTCTCGCGTATTTGCATTCGCGAGTTGAATTCCGGAACGGTAAGTCATGACGACCGGCCGAGCGTGGATCGAGCGCGGATCGATCGCGCGGCTCTCATGACACCCCGGCGGGGCGAGCGGAAACGTGAAAAAGCGCCGAAAAGGAAGCCGAGGAGGCACAGACGGAGCGAGCGAAGCGAGAGAGCGATACGCGCGGAAGCGCAAAATCGTGGATCGCGGATAAGCCGCGTGTTGCTTGCCTTCGACACACATGGAAATTAGATCACCGTGTCACGCGCACGT